GAGAGAGAGAGAGAGAGAGAGAGAGAGAGAGAGAGAGAGAGAGAGAGGCAGAGAGAGAGACAGAGAGAGAGACAGAGAGAGAGACAGAAAGAGAGAGACAGAGAGAGAGAGACAGAGAGAGAGAGAGACAGAGAGAGAGACAGAAAGAGAGAGACAGAGAGAGAGAGACAGAGAGACACACAGAGAGAAACCAAGACAGAAAGAGAGAGGAGTGGAGAGAGAGAGGGAGGGAGGGGAGGAGGAAAAGAGAGAGAGGGAGAGAGACTATGAGATGCATCACTTAGTTCTTGGTTGATTAACTGAGACCATACTTACAGGCCTTTGTTTTTATTTTTAACCTTTTAAATTGACTTTTGCACACATATAATCATTCATTTGTGCAGACTTTGTCCAGCTAGTTTTTAAGAAAGACATTTTTGACCATATGGTTTTTAACTGTTCTTCCTCAAACTTTGTCTGGTATGCTGATTTTCCCAGGGGGCTGGGTTTAGCTTATCCTGGACTCCCGTCTTCTGAGCTGATACTGGGTGGTCCTGCAGCCGTGTCTGGCCTTGGGGTATCACCAGCAGCTCTGGTTTGTGTATCTCACACATTTCCCTTCTATACCCCAGCCCAGAAAGTGAGATCCCATCCTTGGCTTCCTTTTAAGTGGCTGGTTATTTTTCACAGAGATGGCATCCATGCGTTATCTCCCTGGACATCAAATCTATGTCCAGATGAGCAAACAATCTTTTGTTTGTTATTATTTTAGATTTTTTGCATGGATCTTTAAGAATCTGATCTGCTAGCTTAGCATTCCCCCCACCCCCGCCACCAATTTGGGGGTCAGGAGCCTTCACAGGCTTCACAATCTTATTCTGCTTAATGGCTTGCTCATGGAGCCTGAGCAGCTGCCATTGGGGTTCTTAGACGTTTGCTTAACCTTCTTTGCTTCCTTGATAGCCCAATCCGGATGGTTTGTTTTCACTCAGCTTTTCTACTAACAGTTTCTGATTCTCTTGGCCGTTACATCCCAAGTAATGGAACCCTGGAACCTGACCACACGTAGGGTTCTTTGCTTTAGCATTTCTTCCAGCTATCCCTTTGTGTTTCTTCTGTAGCAAACAGCCCTGTTTCTCTTGAGGGTTCCTCTCGGAAAGGAAAAAAGATCTGCATTTTGCAGTAAGGAATTGGAAAAACTCCCCATCAAGTCCTGAGTAGTGGAATCCTTGTCCAAAGTAGACCCCATATCTATTAACGTTGTGCCATTCAACCTGAAAGGCAAGGGTGATTGCCCAGGAAGGGAAAGATGGCAAAGAGAGAAACCCAGTCTTTCGTTGTTGTTGTTTTTGTTTTTCTAGACAGGGTTTCTCTGTGTAGCCCTGGCTGTCCTGGAACTCACTCTGTAGACCAGGCTGGCCTCGAACTCAGAAATCCACCTGCCTCTGCCTCCCAAGTGCTGGGATTAAAGGCGTGCGCCACCACTGCCCAGCGAAACCCAGTCTTTTTAAAGTTTGATTTCTATTTCCCCTGCCCTGAACTGGAGGGCAGAAGACTGCTGTTTTCATCGTGACTTAGATGGTTCATTTAATAAGTGCTCACGTGGATCTTAACATATGTATGAGACATGGCTGCTCTGAAGTCTCCTCGCATTAATTCCACGGCAGAGTTACCTTAGGAGAATGGTGCCAATCTCTGCATTTTACAGATGAGCCAACACCCATAGTTAAGTGACTCAGGACTCACACAGAGTCAAACATATGACAGGAACAGAGTTGGGAGACTGGGTAAATTGTGTTGGTCAGATCCTATACCCTAGTTGCTATCCACTACACTAGGGAGGGAAAGGCCACCAATCTTTTATTTCTGTAAGGGGCAGTCAATGTCTCTAGGACAAACATCATATTTATTTTGTCTTTGTTCACAACAGATTTGAGATTTTTGTTTGTTTGTTTTTAAACTCACAGGAATCCACAAGGCCACGTGCTATGCCCTGCTCAGATGTCCCATGAGAGTCTTTTCCTTTTCTCGAGCAGGATCAGGTGGGCTGGCTTCATTGTTTGGGGGATGCCTGTGGTTTTTGTGTCACTTTTCACTGTAGGATTCTAGTCATTCCCCTTTAAACATGTCCTAAGCTTTGGTGGCTTTTTGTTTTCTTTTCCATCTGTCTGCAAACCCCATTAATGCTTTGAGAGTCACACCCTTTTCAACCAAACATACTCAGATGCTGCACAGGAGTTAGAAAGTGACCTTTACCCATGAAAAGGATTTTGAATCACAGGAAGTTAACTATACTAGACAAGGAAAATAGACATTCATCTTTTTTTCCAATGTAAATCATTTCCTATGAAGTGCTCTCTGACTCGAATGAAGTTCTTTAAGTGGGGACTAGAAAGATTCCAGAAAAATTAGAGAATCACCTTTGTCCTGGTCTCTGATTTACGCTGAAGGAAGTCTGCAGGGTGGAGAGGCAGCTGGAGGTTGAGAATCCTTAGAAGAAATGGCCAAGGGTGTTCTGGGTAGTTGGTTAGCACTGATCAGATGGTGGCATGGGCTGGACTCGTGGTAGTAAGGTTCCAGAGTGCAGACTGGGTTCCATTAGTGGACCTTGACATCAACATAGAAAGAAATAGAGAAATAAAAATAGAAAACAAACACCACCAAGCAAGACACAGAGTTAAAGCCGTATGGTTTTGTGAGACTTTTCTTTAAAGGTGTATGTTTAAATACCGTATGAACTGAGCTGAGACATAAAATTTATTTCTTACCATGTCTTGTGTTTTAAAGCAGTGGCACCCAACTTTCCTAAGGCCGAGACCCTTTAATAAATAAATAAAATAAAAAGAAATCAATAAAACACGTGCTGTGGTACTCCTCAATCATAAAAGTATTTTCATTGCTACTTCATCACTGTAATTTTGCTACTGTTATGAATTGAAATGTAAACACCTATGTTTTCTGATGGTCTTAGGTGACCCCTATAAAAGGGTCATTTGACACCCAAAGGGATTGCAACCCACAGGTTAAGAATCGCCATTCTAGAGAGACTGTACAATGCTACTCTACAAATAAACCCAGCCACAGGCATTCTCTCTACCTTCTGAGAGCTTAAACTGGAAGGCAAATGACCATTCTGAAGACTCTATAAAAGGGGAGGGACTTTCTATATATGACCTGGAGAGTAGCAGAGAGGTTATCTTAGTCAGGGTTTCTATTCCTGCACAAACACCATGACCAAGAAGCAAGTTGGAGAGGAAAGGATCTATCCAGCTTACACTTCCACATTGCTGTTCATCACCTAAAGGAAGTCAGGACTAGAATTTAAGCAGGTCAGGAAGCAGGAGCTGATGCAGAGGCCATGGAGGGATATTACTTACTGGCTTGCTTCTCCTGGCTTGCTCAGCTTGCTTTCTTATAGAACCTAAGACTACCAGCCCAGGCATGGCCCCACCCACAATGGGCCCTCCTATCGTTGGTCACTAATTGAGAAAATGCCTTACAGCTGGATCTCCTGGAGGCATTTCCTCAAGGGAGGCTCCTTCCTCCTTGATAACTCGAGCTTGTGTCAAGTTGACACACAAAACCAGCCAGTTCAGAGGTCTTCTTGAGGGATACTAGAGAAGACAGCAGGTAAATGGAGTCTTCTCACTGGTGAGGGTAGATTCTTGAGGTGAGGTCGAGGCAGAATTCTGAAGACAGAGGTCAGAGTCTAGAACATATGGAGTAGTGGATGTTCCAGCTTTGTGGGCTGGGAGAAAAGGGTCTAAGTTGCAGATGGCTGATGCTGGCAGGAGAGAGGGAACGGGCTACAGAAGGGAGAGAGTGGATGAGACTTAAGCTGAAACACTGGATGACAATTGGCCCAGATGAAACCACCAATGCTCTCGTTTAGACTTGTTTGGTATTTGAAAATGATGAAGTTCTCATTTAAAAAAAAAAAAAATCAAATTTCTCTAGAAAATCAGAAGACCCGAGCGAGGCCTGTGAGCTCATGATGGTGGTTAGAAACAATCAGCTGGAGTCTGAATATCCCTCACTATTCGGCAGACATTAACGTGAGCTTTTGCGGTTAAAATTCCATTGAAAATTCAATCTCTCCCTTCATAGCAGCCGTCGGTCAATCATCCCACAGCTACATATCACTAGTGTCTTCAGCACATGCCATTATCACAGAGGTTTCTATTGGACAGAGACTTTTTAGACCCACGTACGTCCTCACTAGTCACCCTGGTTTGCAACTCCTCTGCATCCTGTAGCCTCACTGGCTGTACGGTTCTAAGACCAAACTTGGAATTGAAACTTAGCTGACGTTCCTTGAAGACACAACTGTGTATGACTTGCTTGGTGTTTCGTTTTTGAAGGTAAGCAGCAACGTAAGAGTTGTAGAAATTGAGAGTAGAAGAACCTTATGAAGTCATTAGAGTAGAAGTGAGAGACTCAAAAAATAAAATTGACGTGATTACCTCTAGACAACAGTACACAGAGTGTTAAATGGGACGGACCACAAGGGCCGTGTGTCAGTGACAACTTTTACAAGCAGTGAGTAACTTTCCAGGCCAAAGCTAGTGTCCTGTCAGGATAGAGGAGGCAAATCCTGATTTGCCAATGATTTAAGCCAGCCACTAGCTTTGATTCTACATCAGGTAAGCATTAGTGATTGTATAATTTGCATAGACATGCACAAATATTAAATATTCATTGTGACCTTGACCTCTCCCCCTGCCAGACAGTTTTCTCTGTGTGACCCTGACACCTTCACACACACACACACACACACACACACACACACACACACACACACACAACTTGCAAGACCATGCTGCCGATTCCAGGAGACCGAACACAGAAGCATAGTATCCCTTGGACGTGTTGCATATGAACAAAATTGGGATCCAGGTTGTATTCTAGCAAACTTTTTAAGTGTTGTTTCTTCTGTTTCAGTGAACTCGCCTCCAGCTCTTTTGCTGCAGAAACGCATGGAAAATATGAGTGGCTCCTGAAAGAATTCTTTGGCAGAGAGCACATCTTGTTTTCGGCCGACATTCGTTCATCGTCGTCACTACCTACATCCCCCCCTCCCGCCCCCCTCTTCACATATGAAAACAATTATTTCTCAGTTCAGGAAGTCAGTTTTAATCGTTAGTTTGGCTTCAAAGGATCCAGCACCCTTTACAAGGTCGAACTAGCCCCAAAGACAGCTGGGCAGAAACTCTGGCCTGAGAGGAAGCTGAGTTTTCCTTGTGCACCTCTTAGAACTTGCTCCTGAGTCCTGGAAATAAGGAAGATGTCCCATCTGAGACAACAGGGAAGAATGTGTCCCTGAGAAAGCTGGGAAGCCACTCTCAGAGAGACATCTCTCTGGACAACTTCCCCAGCCTCACCTGCACTCTGTGTTCAACAAGTTACACTGTAGAAAATCTTGGGGTGAAAGAGCTTGGCACAGGGGTCAAGGCCCTGATTTTTGCCCCAGATGTGTGACCCTAGGCAAATCTATCAGAATCTAGGAATTTCTGTTTACTCAGGTGTACGTAGGGTTTCAACCGGGTCCTTCTGCTGAGTATAAATGCCTTCTGTTTTCCTTACTGGATCTGTATCATGACAACTATAAATTAATCTTCAGCTTCAGACAACAGTAGAATTAAGGTCAATATGGACAGTTTGCTTTGATGGATACAACAGAAAACCTTCACATCTGTGCACGTGGCAGGGGTTAGTATAATAGAAAACCCTACACACCAGGGTCTTTCAGATTGTAGTGGGCAAAAGAATCAGCTCGTTGAAAATGCATTGAGAGGTTGGCACTGAGAATCAGTGCAGACAGCTTCACCACGTGGTTCATGTCCGGAGTCGGGTACTTACAGACCATCCAAGTCTTGGCTGGTCACCCAGGCGGTCCCCCCACAGCTGGTCCTGCTCTTCCTACCAGACTTGAGTGTTTTTGCTGCTGCTTCTAACACTTAGAAAACTGGCTTGGAAGGTTTGAGGGTTGCCGTTTGAAACTGCAAGTGAGGGGCCCACCTGGCCCCAGGTTGACAGCCAGCCAGAGTGCTGAAGAGGGAAATGATCATTAATAACATCGATTTTGTGAATCAGTCACACCTCAGTTCACATGAATACTGATCGAGGCGTACGGGGAATTGTCGCACACCGTGTTTGAGGCAGAGACGTGGGTTTTAATAGAGCCCATTTCCATAACTGGAACACACTGCAGTTTCCATTTAATGAAATGAGGTTGGGAAGTTAAAAGTGCCATTTGTCTGTGAGAAAGTTCTGAAGCAAGGCTAAAAACAGAGGGAAGGTCTCTTTTTGGAGTTTGGAAATGAGGGTAGAAGTCAGCAGAAATATGCCACCACTTTCTTTAAATGTTCTGACAAGGTAGATGCCTCAATGAAGAAAAACACACACATTCAAGAGAGAACAATGATTCGAACGTCACCAGCTCTAGGACAGTGGCCAGCACAGGGCAGGGTGTCACTCCATCTTTGTTGGATGGAGGTGTTAAGCACAAGCTGAGGAAGCAGGCTGGAGGAGAGGGATGGAGTATAAGAAGCAGGCTTTCTGAAAACCACGAGAGGGCCTATAGTGAATAAGCTTCAAAGGTCAGGTAGAGTTCATTCCCTACCTTTTGCTGTAACAAAACCATCCATACTTGGCAATTTAATGCCACAAAGGTTGGGAAGACGGCTCTGTGGATAAGAGCACTTGCCGTTTATGTATAAGAACCTGAGTTTGAATCCCCAGCCCCCACTTAAGAACCAGGCAATGGCTACACATGTCAGAGCAGAGACAGGCTGATCCTGTGAGCTCACCGGCCAGCAAGTCTCTCAGAAATGAAGAGTTTCCAGTTCAGTGAGAGACCTTGTCTCAAGGGAGTAAGATGCAGTGATAGAGCCGACACTCAACCTTCTTCTGTGGCCTCTGGATGTGCACAAGGGCCTGTAGAACTACACACACACACACACACACACACACCAACAGAATTGCATTGCCTCAGCGTTCTGGAGGCTGAGATGCAAAACTCAAGGCATTGGCAGGGCCATGCTCTCTCCGACCCCTATGAGGTTCCTCTTTGCCATTTCCCAGCTGCTGGTGACACTCGGTGTTTCCTGGCCTGTGGCCATCCAGCTCCTCTTTCTGCTTTTACTGTCAAATGACACTCTTCCTGTGCGACTCTGTTTTCAGATGCCGTTTCTTGTAAGGGTGCCAGTCATGTGGGATGAGGAGCACTCTCCACTCCAGTGTGACTGAAACCTAATTATATCTGCAACAACCCTATTTTCAATTGAGGTTCTATATTGAGGTACCAAGGAGTTAGGACCTCAACATATCTTTTGGGTGGTAAAATAGTTCAACTTGTAACAGTGCCATTTAAAAGTGCACTGAAAAAATTTTTTTTATTGTTGTTCTTTTGTTCAAAAAAAAAAAAAGTGTTGGTGAGAATGCAGAGAATTTTGGAACTCTTGTGCTTTGCTGAGGAGAATGTAAAATGGTCCTCAAAAATGAAGTGTAGAATTGCCACTGGACCTAGCACTTCCACTTCTGCTGTATCATATCATACATCACATCATATCACATATCATACCATATCATTTATTTATCTAACATGTATCTATATCAATATCTATCTTTATCACCTATCATGTATCTGTTTCTATGTGTATATAGAAATAACATGTATATCTCTCTCTATATATATATCATGTGTCTACCTCTGTATGCACCTCTCTCTCTCTCTCTCTCTCTCTCTCTCTCTCTCTCTCTCTCTCATTTGTCTATTTTGTCTATTTCTATCTACTATCTACCAATTGTACCATCTACTATATCTATCATTTAGCGTATCTATCTCTATATCTATGTATGTATGTATGTATGTATGTATGTATGTATGTATGTATCTATCTATCTATCTATCTATCTATCTATCCATCACTTATCTGTCCTCAAGCAGGGACTCTGTCACATATTTGCATACCTATGTTTAGAGCAGCCTTCTTTACAATAGCTCAAAGGCAGAGGCAACTCATGTGCCTATCATGGGATAAATAAAGGGAAAACAGAATATTATTCACACTTGAAGAAATAGAAAACTTGCTGGCCATCATGACCCAGCCCTACAATGACAGTGCTTAGGAGGCTGTGGTAAGATAAACTTGAATTCAGGGTCATCTTGAGCTACAAAGCAAGTTCCAGTTATCTGGACTACATATTCAAACCATGGCTCCTGTCTGCAGGGGACAGAGAGAAAAAGGAGAGGGGGGTAGGAGAAAGGAGGGAGAGAGGAATAGAGAGAGAAAGAGAATTCTAACACGTGCTATGCATCATCGTGACCACAAAAGGACACAGTTCTGATTCTGCTTCTACAAGGTGGTCAAATGCACAGAGTCAGAAAGTCATCGTTAGAGGTTGGGGAGCTCAGGAAGCAGGGGGTTAGTGTTTGCTGCATAGTTTCCCCTGGAGAAGATGGCAGAATTCTAGAAATGGATGGTTCAGGTTGTACAATATGTGCTAACTTATGCAATGAAACAGCACATTAAGGGTGATGAAGTGCTCCATTTTGTGGTATATTTCACTACACTAAAGATCAAAATGAGGATTCAACAAAGGGATTATCAAGGGCCTAGAACAGTGATTAGAAGAAAGCTGAGATATGTCTTAGAAAGTATACTTGCTACAGACGGGACAGTGGGTTACTTGGTTTGGGATTTACAAATGATGTCTTTCCTGTACATTGATTCATCATTTCTCAGCAGGCTATTAACACCAAGTGAGGACCTGGTCTGCAAAAAGGTGCATTTTGCACTGTTGTTGCATGAAGGTGCAGGCCCTGGCTCTCTCTGATTTGAAATGACTTGCAGTTTTTAAGGAGCTTTCTGACTCTTAGCTACTCTGTAGTTTTAGATAACTATCCAGGGTGACAGGTACTGGGCCAGAATTAGGTCTATTGTGGTTAAGAGAAAACCTGGGGTGCCTTTAATATTTCTAAAAGCAGGCACACACTTTATCTTCTCAGTGACCTGAGGATGTAATCATGTTGACTAGAGTACCTGTAGCCACTCCAGAACACTGTTTATCAATTCTATGATTTGCCCCGAATGTTCTGGATATCTAGTAACACACAGCATGAACATTGATCTTACTGAATGACTGTAAAGGTAAAACACATATAAAGTATGTGAGCCGGGGATTTGATGTCTCAGGGTAAAATCACTTCCCATCCAACCTGATGACCTAAGATTGATCCAGGGACCCATGTGGTGAAAGGTGAGAGTGGACTTCCACAGATTCTTATCTGACTTCTGCCCACCTCTCCACCTGACACACACAGAAAGAAGAGAAATACAAAGTACAAAATGCATATAATTTTTGAAAAGTCTATTCTAAGACATTTAGGCAAAGCCCAGCTTTCAACCGGAAGCCACCTTAAGGTAGGTCCCTAAGCGCCTTTGCAGGTTTCTGACTCCATCCCTCTATGCTATGAACCTTCCATTGTTTTTATTTTTTTTTTATTCTATATAGCTTAGTAAAACAAAATAATTGCATTTTATAGGATTGACATAAAGAACACTCTTCCTAAGTGGTTTGAAAGTGAGCCGCTAACATAAGCCTTCATCACCTTCAATATTTAAATGTGATTTTCCTCTATAGAGGGATGCACTCCTAGATAACAACAACACAGGGTAGAGATGACCCCATCCTGCAAACTTTAGATGTGTGTGTTTGATGTGTGTATGTAGCAGTCAGGAAGCTGGAAAGGACACATGAGAGAGGAAGAGGAAGATAGATTAAGGAATGCAGAGAGATCACATAGACAAGACAGTAGAGGGTTTGAAGAATCCTGGAGGTTAAAAGTTGAAGGAGACACTATGGTCCAACCAATAGAGTAAAACGTAATAGGAAGTTCATAGCACAGAGGGATAGAGTCAGAAACCTGCAAAGACACCTTAAGGTGGTTCCTGGGTGGAAAGGTGGATTTTACCTAAATGTCTCAGCCCTACCATCCACCCACAGCCCTACCACCTCCAAAGAATTTAATCAATTATTGAATCTGTCAGTAGATTAAAGCATTCATTAGTCCA